TGGGGTCCGTGTTCAACAACGTGTGGTCCCGGTGTAGCTACACGTACGGTTGAATGCGTAGCTTTACAAGGAATAACCTCAAATATTATTAAACTGCCAGATTATGAATGTGAAGGTTAGAATAACTCAATTTAATTTTGTTTTTTATTTGGAAAAATAAATTGAATGATATATCTAACTTTTTTTACAGCCAAGAATTAGGATTAGTTGATGAAATTAATGATAAATTTAAGGTATACCGAGACCGAATGCATTTCAACCATGTCAAGTACAACAATGCGTATTAAATGAAGTAATAAATGATTTACCTGTACGTGAACGATCATTAACACCTGCACGTTCATTCAAATGGGATTATGGTGATTGGACGGTTTGTTCTGCTTCATGTCTTGGAGGTATCATTTTTTGATTCATTTTAATTAGTGTAGAAAAGATTGCAAGATGAGAACAATCACTGATAACAAAATCAAATTGATAGTTTCTCTAACTGAATGATATATTTTGTAATTTTTTTACGTAATAAATCCTTTTATTGTGTGCTCATCTTTTTTATCGTAGAAAAAATTACAAAATAAAAAATTAAATTGATAATTGATCTGAAATTATTCTTACAAATGATTCATTTTCATTAAGATTAGTATAGTTTATTGGATTAAAAAATTTGATGTGTGCATTACAACTATAAGAAATCAAACTAACAATCGATTTATCAATGATAACACTGCGATTGAAAGATTTAACATTTAAATTTTTTCAAATATTAAAAAAATCATGATTTGACGTGATGTTATCATAACAGTATATATACTATGTATATATATATATATATCACTCATTAAATTTTAACTGAAATTTAACAGTTTTAATTTTAGGTAAGCAACGCTCCACTCTTAAATGTGTGGACGTCAAACGACGAACCGCTGTTGCATGGTCATTTTGTGATGCAAAGCAACGCCCTGTTGATTTGACACGTTCTTGCAATAATGACCCATGTCCACCTGAATGGGATGTTAGTTTTTTAGTTTTTTTTTTTCTAATTTTTCTATTTTTCTCATAGAGAGTTATTTCCAAATAATCTTATTAAAAATATCCATAATGTCCTACTATAATTTAATTGTGTAGTGTTGAAATTTAAATTGTTAGAAGTTGTAATTGATTGAATAATTAGTTGCAGAAGAAACGATAGCAAAAATTTTTTCAAGGAAAAAAAAATAGATATTTTGTTGAAAAAATAAAAAGTTCTGTTAAAATAAATTTAATATTTCCTAGATTGGTGAAATGTCACAATGCTCACATACGTGTGGTGGTGGATTACGTACTCGAAAGGTTTGTAAATCTAAATTATTAAATTTATTAGTCGTTTAGATTATTTAAATTTCATTGCTGTATGTTTTTGATCACACATTTTGTTTGAATTTCTGTTATATTTTCAAATTTTAGGAAAACTAAATTGTTATCATTTATGTATCTTTGATATCATTTATGTATCTTTTCATTTCCTGACAATTTTTAAGGATGGATAACAATCAAGTGTATTGCAATATTTAGGTACGCTGTATACGTCGTATATCACGAACTGGTGGTGCCGAATCAACATTAATTCTGCCAGATGGACAATGTCCACAACCAAAACCGGTCAACAGTGAAGCATGTGGTTTAATAGATTGTCCCCTTATGTGGAAGGTTATTCTTCACTTATTTTCAGAAAAATAATCGAAATATTAATCGACTGAAGTCAAAAACCTTATGTTTTCTAAATTAATTTTAAAATAGATAATGATAAAAATTTTAATTCCCTCTATCATGGCTCTAAACTGCTCATTTAATTTAGATCGGTGATTGGGGTCAATGTTCAACAACTTGTGGTCCTGGTGAGCAACGTCGTGAGGTGACCTGTGAGCAACGTGTTGCTGATGGCGAATTGAAGCAATTTTATCCTCCAATACAGTGTCGTCATATCGAAAAGCCACCAACCATTCAACTTTGTGATTTAGGTAAATTAAACCTATTCATTTTGCATATAATTCATAATTAAATTCAGTGCAAATTAAAAATAATAACTCAATATATATAAGCAAGAAAATAAGCAAGCTAAGGTTGTGGGCGCATTATAAGCATTTGAACCCAATAAAATTGAATTTAATATATTTCCGAACGAATATGATAATCAAAAATAAGAATTTAGAAAAAAAAAAGCAAAAACTTTTGTTAAATTAGTAAGGTAAATGAAAAATGAAGAAAGAAAAATAATTAAGCAAAAAATTTTTTAATAGGTAAGTGCAACAGCTTATCTGATTCGATACTTCGAGAAGTTGAAAATAATATGAATTCATCACCTTTAACACAACAACATGATGGACATAATCGAAAGTTAACATTAAATATTGGCGGTAGCGCAAAGTTATTCGTTGGTACATCATTAAAAGTATGTAATGAAAAGGAATTCACCGATTATTGGTTCATTTTCTGTTTGCTAATTAAATTCAAAATTATATCAATTAAATTATTTTATTTTAATAATTCTTATTCAACGACGTACAGAAGAGGGAAAGAGATAAAGGATTACTAATTGGAAGTGTTGTCATATTGTTCTGTAAAATATGATTTAACCGAAAAATAAATTATATTCTCTTATTTTTTTTTTGTTTCGAACAATAATAATAAGCAATAACAATAATAATAAGAATCGTAATAATAATGATGATGATGATAGTAATATCAATAACAATTAATAATAATACTAATGATAATGATAATAATAATAATAATAGAGTTTTAGCTTAAAAATAAGCTTTAATAGGGATTTTTAATGAGACGGATGAATTTTTGTTATTATTAAAATATATGATAAATGTAATGAATTGTAAACTAACACTAATATGATGATAATATTAATTATAGATAAATCATAATATTATAATGATATTGCTTTTTCATTGTATGTGGAAAGTAAGAAACATAACTGGAAATGAATTTTATTGTAAAATTAGTACATGGCTTATTTTTAGGTAAAAATGGAACTAATAAATCGTAATGTTACAATTTAGATATGTGTATTTGATTAAATTATTAATGTGTCAAAAATTTTTTTGTCCATAAGAGATGTTGAGAAAAATACTAATTAGTAATTAAATTTTATACATTCAGGTTAAATGCCCAGTTCGTAATTATGCAAAGAACAAAATTATTTGGACAAAAAATGGAAAAAAAATAACTAACAATGGTAAATTTTATTTATACCCTTCCAGAAATAAAATTTTTTGTTGAAATAGAATTGTAATAAAAATTTAGAAAAAAAAAAATGGAATTTGCTTTATATTTTGTTTGTTAATTTTTTTTTTTGCCTTTAGCACACATAAAAGTATCATCAAATGGTGCATTACGTATTTTTCACGCTCGAATGGAAGATGCTGGCGTGTATGCTTGCATAGCTAATGGTATTCAAGGAAATGTTACGTTAAGTTTCAAACCACGAGAAAATAAAGTATCTGATTTCTTTTTATTTTTATTTTTTACAATATTCATATTTTTTCAATTACACAAAAATTTGTATTTTATAACACGAATTAATTAAAAATTAATATGAAGGAATAATTTAGTATAACAGTTTCCATAATTTTTGTTTTCTAATATTTATTAATTTTTAGGATGAAAATGAAAATGATTCACGTTCAATGTTAAAACAAAAAATATTGGATAGCGATGTGGAAAATGATCCAATTGCTGTTGATTATCAACTATTAGAGGTATTTTTCAAATTAGCAAAATTAGTAGCAATTTTTACACGCTTAATTATTTTAGTTGTGCTTTTGCCGGAAATTTTAATTATCCTTTTTCAAATTTCAAATTTGAGATGAAGTACTTAAAATTTTTGGTCCAAAATTTTTAAATTTTAAAATATTACAAATGTTCGTGTTTTTTTAACGAAGAGTGCTTGATTTTTGTATGCAATAATTTCTATTAATCTCAAAATTCATCCATTTTATGATTTTTTTTTTGATGTTTCAGAAAGTGCGACAATCGTTAAAAGACAATAATGATATCCGAATGTTAGAAAAATTAGCTGAAGTAACTGAACCAGGAAATATTAAGGTAACATTTCAAGTAACTGATATTTGATAATTCAAATTTTGCTAAAATTGCAAAATTTAGATTGATTATGCTGCTGGTGAATGGTCAAAATGTTCAGATTATGAATGCGGAAAACCGGGCCGAGCACAGGTAAATTAATTGGATGCAAATTACATTCTAATTTTTAGTTTTCTTTCTTTGCATCAATTTTCAATTAATGATATAATTAATTGAAATGTATTAGCAATATTTTTAGGTACGACAATTGAAATGTCGCATTAGTTATCGAGGTTCGATCGGATATCTCGATGATGATGTATGCGAAAGTTTCGGTGTTATACGGCCACCTTCCTCGAGAAGTTGCCTTCCATCGTATTGTCCACGATGGCATACATCTTCATGGTCTGAGGTATAATTATGCTTTGAATATATAATCATAATATACAATCAGTTCATTGAATAAGAAATTCAACTATCTTCTTGATTTTAGTTAAATTAGCTATGATTTGAATATTAACAATGTCTTACATACACTTATAGCTATTTATGTAAAATCTAATACAGTGTAAAATCTAATAAAATCTAATATCTGATATTTCTCTTCCTTTCTTAATTATCATTGATAAAAAAAATTTTGCTCCTTATTAGAAATTACAAAAAATTCCGAAATCATTATTAATATGAGTAGCAATTAGCAACAACGTTTCAGTCAATTAATTTATTAATTTTCAGTGTTTAACTTCTCGTTGTATCCGACATTCTACGTCAGTACAAAGACGTGAAGTAAAATGCGCATATGAAAATGGTACAAATGCAGCATTTGAATTGTGTGATCGAGAAAGTCGACCAAAATTAAAAAAGGAATGTATTAATGGTATGAATCAATTTTTTGATGTATACTAATAAGGCATATTTTTCTTTTTATGTCAATTTTTTTCTTTATGATGTAATTTTCTTGAATTTTTTTAATATTAAATATGTATTTTTTTGCAAAAAATAATTGAAAATATAGGTGGAACATAGTTTTAGGTTTTTTAAGACATATTTAATTAATTTAGTTACGATAAAACAAGTTCATCAAACATCATTGAAATGAATAGTAAGCATTTATTACATAAAATGATGCATTGATATATTAAAAGTACATTAAACATATTTATAGCAGCTACATTTTAATTGTAGCTTTTTTAAAATTTTTTTTTTAATTTTTTTTTAAATTTATAATTGTTATTACCAGCTGTTGAATAAGTACTAAAAAGTATTCACCTTGAAAGTATTAAATTACAATATTTTAATGTATCTTACACTTCTACCACCGTTAAGTTAAATAGTTAGTAATTATAATAGTTTAACATCATAATAATTTTTTTTGTAGTATCTTTGAACAGTCATGATTAAACTACTGTATGTATCACTTACAGATTACTGTAAGTGATACATACAATAATTTAATTATGATTGTTCGAAGAATACGAATAATCATACTGATATCACATTTACTATACATTAAAAATACTACTATTTATATAATATCTGTTTGATATTATTGCTGATAATTTATCGAATTAATTCATTAATTAAAAACAGTAGTAGCATGAATTGTAATAAATTATGTAAATTATATTTTTTTAACTTTGTTAAATGATTTTTTCTTCAATTTTTAGGTTAAATGTCTTTTATCTTTGTTTTTCAAAAAAGATTCAAAATAATAGTATGATTTAGGAAACGTTTCAATTATTACAAGTTAAAAAATATATAAATTATTTTAATTTCAAAAAAAAACGTTTAAATTACTACAACCATTAAACTACACATGCATTAAAAATTTAAATTTTTCGCTTCTTCTTTTTGTTTCAAACAGAAAAGAAAAATGAAATAAATTGCAGTTTAATA